CTCCCGGAGTTCAGGGGATGCTGTTCAGCCCCTCCCGGGGTACATCAGGTCTGCCCCCGATGGCTGCGGAGCCACGGGAAGGGGAGCGGGCATGGAGCGGGGGTGTCCCGCGGGGTTGCTGCTGCTGTCACGGAATTTCATCGGAGCGAAACTTCCCCAGGCTGAAAAATGATTGAGCCGGCTGTCATCTTCCTCCTGCCTTCACGGTTTGGAAGAGCTCATCGGGTGCTGAGGAAGGGTCTGGAGCACGGATCTGCTGGGGGAGCTGGGGGTGCTCACTCTGGAGAAATCCCAGCTCAAAGCATTCATGGGATCATGGCCATGGGGAATGGATCAGGACCATCACCGATGCCTTCCCCTCTCAGACAGCACTGTATTTGGCCCTTCTTAATCCAGTTTACAGAGGAGAGCAACACCCCACTGAACGCAGGGGTGAAATGAATAAATCTGTCTTTTACAAATACCCCAGCAAGGAAAAAAAAGGGGGGTGGGTCTAAAAAAGAGAGAAGTCGGAATGTTATCCCATAAAGAGACCCCTCATAGGTAGCCTGGGATCGGGAGAACTTTGATGGACTGTAAAATAATCGCCTCACTATGACAATCCCTTGATAAGCAAAATGTGCAGAAGTCCTGCCAAAAATAATGAGGTCCTCAATTTCTTTTTTCCCCACAAAGACTTTTTTTTTCTCACATTGCATGACACCAGCACAGAACCCACCTTAAATTATTGGGCTTTTAATACTTTCTATGTTGCCTTTTTTCATTAGACATTGTCAACTGAATCTCGTGCCGGGTGTGTTTGAGAGGCTGGCAGGGACACATAGGTCACAATTAGGGCAATCCCATATCTAAAAACTAGAAAATAGTTTTGTCAGCTCTGASAAAAATGCTCCTGTGAGCAAGTTTTTGAAGTAAATTAAACTTTATACACTGCACTTGATCCAGCACTGGAATTTCTCTGCTCCTTCCTACCCATCCCCTGGCTTGCTGTTACCTCCTCACCATRCTGCAGAAAGATGGAAAATTGCTGAGGTCCATTAATTCTCAAAATTATGTTTGTCAGTCTTTTCTCCAAGTCATTCTTGACAGGTAAATGCATGTATTGATCTGGTGATATGCAGGCAGCCTTGAATTATTCTGCTGTAAGGAAGAAATCTGAGCCCTGCAAGCAGCCCTGGAGCTCTGCAGAGGTTTCCATGTGAAGGCTCAGTCCTGCCTGAGGTGCCGTGTTTGCAGGAACACACATGGGCTGATCCTGCTCTCCCTGGAGCACAGCAGCCTTTTAATAACTCCACTGGAGTTTAGTTCATAACTCTGAGTGGCATTTGTGTACCAGACCCAGCAGTCTCTGTTTTTTGCAGTGTTAATACATTTTGTTGCCACACTTCCATTCAATATAAGAAWGAGGTTTCACACAATAATCTTCAAAAATGCACTGAAATTACCCTTCAAGGACATGAGTTACAACCCACAGAACAACAGAGCAGAAGGGAAGCTGTCCCATGAGCAGATCAGTTCTTCTGGCAGCTCATCTTTGTTTTGTTCAGGCAAATTCCAGCCCTGATGTCACCAGTGACATGATGTACGTAGGACACATGGGCCAGTGAAGTGGGTTCCCAGAGGAAGGGTTTCAGAGCCCAGCTTGGGTTCACATCGCTGGATGTGAAATTGCACAGAAATCTGGGAAAGCAATGATGTCACCATTCCTGTTCGCTTTTAGTCCACCAGAAATAGCAACGAGTGGTTCCTTTAGTGCCTGTCAGGCCAAACAATTCTGGTAACAGAACCACTGCAACTCTTTTGCTTCCTGATCCTCAAGAAGCTGCACATGCTGAATCATCCTCTCACTGCTCTCAGCTCACAGACCCCCCAGGCCTGTGCATCAGCCTCCCACTAAACTCACTGGTAAAATAATATTTTCTGCTTCCCTCTAGACTTAATTTGTAAAATTTTGTAAGAAGTAGATTTGTGCAAGTTGAACTGTGAGTATAAATTTCCATTTCAGGGGAAAAAAAAAACCAAAAAAAACCTTCTACCACACAAAGATTCCTCTGTTGCATGTGTGAGGGAGATGGTTCTGGGTAGGAAAGTAGGAAGAAGTCCCACAAACTCAAAGCAGAAAGGAACTGTTCTGGGAGCATAGCTGGCTGCAAGACAGGGACAAAAAGCTCCAAAAATAGAGATTCATCCCCCTCACAACCTTCTGCTGCGGTGCTGCCTTCATGGCAATAGATAATTTGAAGGTGATTTAATCCATGCCCTTTTCATGAGCCTGAGCACCACCTACTCTGCAGTGAAATCTGGTCTCTAAACAGTGTTGGCTACGGAAACACAGCTTCACTCCTCAGCTCACCGCAGCAAAACTCATTCCAAGCATAATTGAAGTCTTGCTTCAATCCTGTTTTGGGGATTTAAGTGGGATGGGGTCTTTGTGTAGGTCCTTCCCAGGGTCACGTGTGCCCTGAATGTGTGAAAAAGGCAGAAAAAGGACTGTGGCAGTCTCACATGCAGCTCTGCAGTTCACAGCCAGGAGCTTGGTGGGAACAGGGACAGGGACAGCTTGGGTGTTCAGAACAGAGCACAGGGACAAGCCTTCACACTTCTGAAAGGAGGCTGTGAAGTTATGGATGGATTTAGCAAATCCAGCGAGCAGTAGCGATTCTTGGAAAGGAGAGATTTGTGGAGTTCCTTTCCTCCTTTATCTCAAGCAAAGTTTACTGTGGGAATTTTTGAGCCCAAATGCAGGTTCCTCTTGCATCCCGTGGGTATCACAGCTTTCTGCTCTGCTTGAACATTGTCACCAGCCCTTCAGGAGCACACCACACTGTGCTGCACACCCTGCTCATACCAAACTTGCTGCTGGATGGGCTGATCTCCAGTAAGACCTCCCTGGAAAGCACATTTTCCAAGATTCTCCCATGAAAATTATTGATTTATTAATAAGAGCACATAGTGCAGCACCACGTGCTTCAGCGAAGAGGATTTGATCCATTCATTCACAAATCCTCCTGTAAACACCCCACAACGTTTCCATGACTCGAGCACACAGCCCTCCTGAGTGCMGAGAGAGATGATTGAATCAGTCAGCTCCGTGTCTTTTAAACACTTTGTGTCACGGAGGAGAACCTGAGTCATTTTCCACGGCACACAGGGCTGCTGGCAGTGTTTGCCTCCCGGGGAGCAGCAGCTGATTTTGTGAATCTGCAATAAGAGCAGAGGATTCTGTCACCCACCGGGTTGAGCACATGGCAGTCCAGGACACACGGACACTCGGCTCCAGCAGCAGCCAAAAAAAAACCAGGACTCCCAACTGGAACTCACTGGAAGCAGATAAAAACCATCGCAGGCTGCACGGCTGGTGGCACTGACAGCCTGAATCAAACCTGTCCCACGGGTTTGGGATGCAGGAGGAGAGCGATGGGGATGGATGTGCCAGCAGGGAGCAGGAGTGGACCAACATGTGAGTGTGCTCAGGAAGGGTTTCATCGTTCCCTACCCGTGTAACACGAGCAGCGAACGGCACCTCTGGGGGTTTTCTGAGACAGACAGAAGAGGAGGGGGAAGATGAGCTCGGGAGAATGTGTARTCCCCAAAAATCAGTGGCTGGTCTTTATATGGATGTGGTGACTGCGAGGCTGAGCTCCCAGGTACGCTGATTTCAGGAGAGAATTTTGAAGGGGCAAACTATGATAAGAAATTTGGGACAAGGATTAGAGCCTGTTCAGGAGAGAGGGGACCCTCAGTTCTGGATGCACATTGACTTATATGTCATCCTCCCAGACTTCCAGAGACCACCCTGGTCCCCTGTGAGGTGTCTTTGATCCTCATTCCAACCCTACTTAAGCTGGAAAAATATGCACAGCAATTTCTGGTGCCTTATCTTAATACCAGCAGTTCCTCCAACTGAAAGCTGCACTTTTGGTTCCCAGCCTAAAAATACTTATGACCTGTTTATCTTWGCTTGATTTGGGGCCATGATTTTGCAAAAAAATATAACAGCCAGCCCACATATGCACTTTAAAATGCTGTCTCATTTCAGATGCTTAGAYCAGATCCTGCAGTTCTCTCATGGAGAAAAATCCTTGTGACCTTGGTGACTCTACTCYCCAAATAATACTGGAATAAGGACTTGCAGGATTGTTTTGTTTCACACCAGCTCTTTATTCCAGCAGCCCCTGACTGCTCAGACATATCCAAACATCTGAGGGCTTCCTTTAAGGTAGAGCAGAAGCTCCAGGAGAAAAATGAGTGTGAGTTAAGTATTGGAAGTCCAGAGTGACATTTTTCATCTGTGTAATAATGTTGTTATGAATGCAAAACTGCCTGCCTTCCTCTTTGCCCTGGGATTTTGTGGTGGCTAAGCTGGAAGAGGCTTCAGCCAGAACTTGAAGCTGCTGTGCAGCAGCAGGAGGGGAGTCCAGCCTTTCTCCAAAACAGCCTCCCTGTGTATGGATGAGAGAACACATGTGAGCCTGGGCTTCCTCCATCCCCCCGCTGCAGGGATTCCCTCGTTGCAGGAGACAGGGAAAAAAGGTTGTTCAGGGTTGTACGCAGTCGCTGCCTCTTGTGGGAGTGACGCTGATGTCACTCATCTGTTTTAGCATCAGATTCCTTGAAACTCAGCACCGTGCTCACTGTATTCAAACACTGCGAGTTGTCAGACACAGATAAAAGCTCCCCAACATTAACAGCAGCAACRCTCCAACCGCTAAATTCAGCTTTGAAGTTAGCAACCCACTAAGCCACGGAGGCTGCTCCTTTCTGCGCTGACTCAGTGGGACGATTTACATCCCACAGCTATTTTTACAAGGAAAGAATGAGAAAAAAGCCATACATTTATTTTTCAAAATCCAATCTTGGGTTCTAGAGAATTGTTTGCAGCAAGCCTAGATAKGTTTCCATGCCTATTCATCCCCTGGTTTATTTGATGAGCTTGCCAGCAGGAAGGATTTTAATTCCTTTTTATCCCAAACTATTTTTTTTCCACAGCTGTGATATGAAATGGTTCTGMCAAACAATTTAGGCTCAAAATCTGACCTATATTGAGGAGCATAAGACGCTGAGGCATGTTCTTGGGATTTTAAGGGGCAAGTTTGTATTTCACTGTAGGATTTTTTATGGAAGCTAACAAGAAAACACTGTCTTATGTTTCCTATCTTAATCCTATTATTATTATTATTATTAAATKCTACTAATACTATACRACATGTTGATGGCTCATTTGCAACAGCACACAAAAAAGGATCTTATGAAACAGCCCTATGAAAAGACATAGAACCTGTATGTGTTTTATAGGACAGTTTCAAATCCTACCTTTTACTCAGTGCCTGTATATCAGGTTATATCAGACATCAGTTTGATTGCTCGTGTAGATTGCAAGCAATATTAAGAGTTGCCATGTGTTTTCTTTAACCCTACTTRGCAAAAGCATTCACCCCTCTAAGGGTCCAGTTGCAAATAGAGTAATTGCAAACATCTCAGCAGTCCCTCTTTAATGGCAGATTTGGTCTGTACTTTAAAATATGTACTGTGTGGGCAAAATCCTGCCTGGGAGCACAAGCTGCTTCAGGGCATGCAAGGTGGGAAGCATGGGAAGCCTTCATTTCGGTTTYAGAGGAACACAGAGGCCACCAGCACCCACGCACTGCTGTTCTCAGCTCCAAAGGCTTCATCACACCCAGCACAGCTCCCAAACTTCCCCTTCCAGGCCCGATGGCACGGACATTGTCAGTGCACATCAACATCTTCTGAGCGCAGGCAAGGGCAGAGCTTTCTGCCTTGGCAAGCCATCAGAGCATCATCCCGGGATGGAGCAGCCATGGGTTCAAGAGCCTGAGAGGAATGTTTATCCCGTGCACTATAAACACACCAGTCCGGGAAGCAATGTATTGCGCAGAGATGCCTTAAGTCACTTTGTGGAGATAAACGCGAAGTTTATGTCCTCCCAGCCCCGGGTCTGCCTTGTCCATATACGGCCCAGGATCAGCACTGCCTTGGCTTTTCTTCAGGAGCTGCAAGCGTGGGGATCCATCCGTGCACACGGCTTTCGGGGCTGCTGGTGAGTCTGGGGGCTGTACCTCGGGATCGGCGGATCGGGTCCATCTCAGCCCTGAAAGCCAGAGGGTCGGGTCCCAGGACGCTGGGATGGAGCAAGAGAAACAACGACCTTCATCTGSTTTCGTAGGAGCGCTTTGGCGTGCACACAACCTGCGATGGGTTTAGCAGATGTGTCCTCCAGCCGGCAGGAAGGCCAASAGCTCCTGGGAACAGGCGGTCACCGGTGCTACTGATGGTTCGGGTGGGGACATAAGAAGTTTTTTTAAAAGTCACACAAAGAGACACGGTGGGTGGCAGTGCGGGGCCACGGCGGGTGGCTGTGTGGGACACGGAGGGGTCGCGGCTGCGGTAAGGAAGCATTGGAGGGAGGGCACGGAGAGGCCGGGCAGGGTCCCGGGGGCGCTCGGCCCCGCCGCCTCAGCGCTGCCTCCGCCGGCGGCGCCAGGACCCCGCGGGCCGGCGGGGCGGGGGCGGGGCCTCGCGCGGGCAGCCAATGAGCGCGGGGACGCCGCCGGGCTCATTTGCATTTGAGCGCGACGCAGCCAATGGGCGCGCGAGCCGCCGGCCGCGCTGCTCTCCAGCCGCCCCGCCCGGGCGGCCGCGGCTCACGGGGACGCCGCCGGGCTCATTTGCATTTGAGCGCGACGCAGCCAATGGGCGCCCGAGCCGCCGGCCGCGCTGCGCTCCAGCCGCCCCGCCCGGGCGGCCGCGGCTCATTCGGAGAATGGCCGCAGCCACGGCGTGCGGCTCCCCGCCTCCCCGCCCGCCCCGCGAGCAGCCGCCGCCGCCGCGCAAGCGGGGCGACTCCCGGCGGCGGCAGGCCGCCCTCTTCTTCCTCAACAACATCTCCTTGGACGGGCGGCCGCCCTGCCCGCCCGCCGAGAAGCAGTCGCTGCCCGCCGGCCCGGGCGACGGGGAGGAGGCGGCGGCGGAGCCGGCCGGAGCTCCCCCGCGCCTGCTGCCCCCGCCGCCGGTATGCCAGCCGCCGCCCGCCCTGCTGCTGCCCGGCGTGCCCGCGCTCGCCGCCGCCGGAGCCAAGGGGGATGCGGACCCCGCCCGTGGGGGCATCTTCCTGCCGCAGCTGCTGCTTGGCGGCCCGCTGTGCCCGCCGCCCCCGGYGCCGCCCGCCCTGCCGGGGATGCTGGCGGCCGCCAAGCCGGGCACCCCGGGGCTGCTGAGCCCCACGCAGAGCGCGGCGGGCGGCGGCTTCGCKCTGGAGGCGCAGCGGCAGAGGTGAGTGAGGGGCCGGGGCTCGCCGGGCCAGCCCGCACCCCCCGCCCCCGCCGCGCTGACCCCGCGGGGCGTGGGAAGCGCCCGGACCCCCCGCGGCCCTGGGAAGAGCCGGACTTTCCCAGGGCCCTCGGCCGGCCGGCGGCTCCGGGAGCGGGGAGCGGGGCATGGGAAACGGGCGCCCCCGGGGAGAGCGGCCGTGGGAGGCGGCGCCGGCCCCGCGGTGGCCCCGGGAGGGAGCACCTGCCCCCGGCTCGRCCGGAGGTGCGCGGGGATCCGGCCGGAGAGCGCTGCTCGCCCCGGCCGCGCCGCTCGGGCCCGGGGACGCGGAGGATGCGCCGGCCGGCGCAGCGGCCGAGGATGGGGATCTGCGGAGGGGATCGCTCGCTGAGGCTCTGTCTGCAGGTCTGCGGTACCCTGAACCCTTCTGCTTTTCCCCAGCCCTGTTTCTTGCGTTGCTGTGTTTCCAGATGATGCTGACAGGGTCACTGCTAGGCAGGACGCTTCCTCTGTGCAGTGGCCACACTGCTGCTGTCGTGCCTTTTGCTCTCTGCTGCTTGTCTCTGCAACTGTATTAATGAATCCTTGTGCACAAGGAACTTGGGAGTCAGCCTCGGGGGAGGATGCTCTGGCCTTCAGAGCAGGATTATTACTGCATTTCCAAGGGAYTTCTATCAGGCTGAAAGTGCTGGTTTTCTAATGGACTGGAAGGCAGGCTCTTGCTCAGATGTTGGGGATTTGAGCTCTGAAAGAACTCTTTCAGGCCGTTTCTTTGCATAAACAGCTCTGTAAAGTGAGCTGGCCCTCTGAGCCTGCAGATAGGCAGCGGTATCAAAGGCTTTAAGTCTCCATGGTCTTTACAGTGGCTTCAAGAGCTTTGTTAGTGAGCTGAAATAGAGATGTTGTCAGTGCTTTAATGCTGGGGGGTTTGCTAAGGCAATTGATGGGTATTGCCTTTCATTGTGCATYTCACAGTGGAGATGTCYTGTGTRTCCCCAYCTTGGGGGTTCCAGTGAATTTGAASAGAAATAGCTGTTTGTCAGTAATATGGGGGATCCTCATGTGTTGTCCCTCCTGGGGTGTTTTCCTTCTTGAACTGTTATTTTCTTTGAGCTTTTCTTGCCATGGAAGAAACCTTTCCTTCCTTATTTGTTGGAGGAATTGRAGCTGGGACTGTCAGCTGGGTGCCCTTTATGTACAGATTGTGCTGTTGTGTGCTGCCTGTTGAGCAGGAAAGCCTAAAGTGAGGGTGTTGCTGTGGAACAGTTCCTTCCCAGCACTCCTGGTCCACAAAAGCCAGCACAGGAGGTGCTGTGTGATTTAATTTCATTGCTTTGATATTGTAGGCAAAGCTCTTGAGGGCAAATTTTTCACAGTTTGCTCTGTGGATGTGGCCTTGGTTGTGCCTGTGCGTGCGGAGTTCTGGAGCAACGATCCTTCCCCTTCCCATGCCGAGTCAATAGGACACTAAGAAAATATTCCTGGGATCTTTTCATTTGATGTCTTTCGTGCCTCTTTCTTTGGYATCAGGTCTGAGCTGTTCCACTACAGTAATTCTGATCAATCCAGCTGAAAAGAATGATGAATCAGAAATAAAAGGTAGAGTGAAGTGCGAGAGGGCAATCAAGGGAATCAAAAGGCTTCTGTCTGAGCAATGACAAAACAGACCATGATTTTTTTTGCTTGGGAGAAATGGCTGAAGGGTATATTGTATTGCATTGATCAGTTTGTGTGCCACTTTTGAGAGTGATTTGGAGTGAGAGTTCATYTGGTTTTTATCTTTAAAGAAAACGTTTCAGCAGATGGTCTGTCAGGCAGAAGATGCACATCTTTGCAGGGATACACACATCTTCTGACAGAAGCACAGCTTGGTGCTGCCTGTGGGGATGTGTTAGACCCAGTGGACCTCTTCCCAGTCACACTGGGCACGGGAGTGGGTAATATGGACAATTACAATTTCACTGTCAACTTACAGGGTGTGGGACTTAGCATTTCATTATTCACTGGACAGTTTCATGCTTTGGTCTGGGACAGAATATCTKTTCATCCCCACGGAGCAGAGGCATCTCTTCTTTTTGCTAATATACAAGGAATGATTCAAGGAATCACAGGAGGAATGTCCTTCAGGACAGTGGTGCTTTTACTCCTTCCCCTTCTGTTTTGGGTGAACTGTTTGCAAAATAAGATTCTGAAATCCACAATTACAAAATGGATCTTGTTTTATTGGTACTTGGGAACCTGAGAATTGATTTGTCATACAGTGATGTTGCTAYTCTAGATCATTAACTGCCTGTGTCACGCAGAGGTACAGACGAGTGAAGTTGGTGGAGGGGACGGGGAGGTGGAATCTGCCATGCTGGACTTTTAAACTACTTAAGGCAGCTGTTCTCCTCAGGGTCATTTTTAATCACTGTCAAGAGCTGCTTTGAATTTTCCTCAGTGGAGCCTTCCTTAAATGCATGAGGAGCACTGGCCAGAGGGTCTCGAGTCTTGCTCTGTCCATGTTCAGTGACCAGTCCTGTGCCATGCCCAGGGATTTCATCAKGCTGGGGCTCGCCCTGATCCATGGAGATCTCTATCTGTTATCAGTATCTCTATCTACTGACAGTATCATTGGGGAGAGTTTTATTACAAAACTTGGTCCTGTTTGACTTGATTGAGAGGTTGCAAGGAGCTGATGAGACCAGCCAGCRTGGCTCAGGGCAGGTCATGACAGCGCCTCTGCTCCACTTGGGGGTTAGTTATTGGCAGGATCTGCAGCCCAAGGAACAAGAGATCTGCTCACCTGAGGTAACCTGGAGTTCTCTGAAGCTCCCCTGTAGCTGTCAGGTCCTTTAGGATGGAAACGTAGCAAAGGAAGCACTGTTCTAATCTGGATGCTCAGTTTCATTGTGCTGCTGGCTGAGCATTAAAAACTGAATGGCTTGAACCTTCCACTTTGATTTTCCTAAGGAATCYTCTGTTTACAGGATCTTAAATTACAATGCTGTGTTATACCAGCTTGCCTGATCTGCTTGCCATCCCTCTTCCCTTCTCCTTTTCCATCTTGCTTTGTTCTTTCAAAGAACAAGCCTCACAGAAAGCMGTGGAGGGAGGCAGCAAACAGGGAACAAATCGGCATTCACAGATTTTTAATGAATTTCTGCAGCTGGGTCTGAAACTGGCAGAGCTTTCTGGGGAAACACAGATAACAGAGAGCCCTGGAAATAGCCAGGTTATGAAAGCATGAAAAATGGAAACAACAGCCCTGAATGTCAATGCTTGTTGTGCTTCTGAGGTTCCATTATAGTGTAATGTAAAGCAGCTGGTTTTGCCATAATTTGCTGCATTTTGCTGGGCCTAAGAATAAACACAGAGACTAAATTATTTGTGACTGATGCTTTAATGTCCTTGGAGTTCAGTGGTCAGGGAGCTGAACTGAGTGTTCATGATAGCTCAGTCGTTTCTGATTTATCAGCAAATTTAGGTCATTTTGAAAGTGGGAGTTTAAACAGTAGTTGRTAACAGCAACACTTTGGACCTACTCTGCTTTTAAGTGTTAATTGGATGCCAGATTGCTGACATAGGTGCGATCAGATTAGTTCCGTGGGTGGAACAGCAGAAATGCTTTGTCAGGATTTTATACTTMTGGTGGTTAATGTGTTGTTTTGTCCTACTGTCAGCTTAGCTGCTGTTGTCACTTCAAGAAATATAAATATTTTTATAAAAACTCCTCTGCAAATAAACAGATATTGTTGAGATGGATGAAATAAAAAGTCTTAGTTTAAATTTTGAACCTTATTTGGAACAAGCTGGGCACATGGTGCTTTTCAGGAAGCAGTGAGGTCTGTCAAAGCTGGCAAGCTTTGACCTTTCASAGGTGAACAGTAGACTAGGATGTACTGCTCGGGGCTGAAAATGAACATATTCTAAACCTGAACTTCATTTAAAAGTCAGCTGAAATGTTAAGGCTGTCTTAACATTTCAGTCTCCTCCCCAGGTTGCTTCAGCAGATTTCTCTCATATTTTCAGCTGCAGGTGAATTGCATAGGTCCAATATTAAGTGTTTATAGCTGTCCATAGTAATTCCCAGCCAGGGTATATTAAGCAGAAGAAGTGAGTTGTATGCCTAGCAGGAAACWTGGAGATCAAAAAATCCACGTCCTTGTATCCTGTGCACCTCTGTGAATGGGTCTGGGTCAGACAATCCGAGACACTTCTAACACCAAGGTTATTTGACCTCTTCAATTTAGACAGTCCAGAGGCTTTAAAGTACCTTTGCTCTCTGGGCAGGAGTARTCTGTGCACAATTACCTGTACTTGCTGCTGATTTTACCTGTGGATGGATGCTGCTGCTGTTCAGAGTGATTGTGCAGGAGGCCTGGCAGTGGGTTTTGGGATGCTCTGGAAGCTCTGTTTCCACYGTTTGCTTGCTTCCAGCTCTCAACTCCTCTTTGCCAGAGATGGTGAAGGTGGTTAGAATGCTGTTGTCTTGCTTCAAGTCAAGGACTTGACAGCCAAGAAGGAAAACACTGCTAAATTAAATATAAAAACCAGAATAACTTAATTTTGGGCATCAAATTCAGACCTCCAGTGAGCAAGTCCTGTAGGAGTGTTACAGTATAGTGTATTAAAAGTAATTATTTAGTTATATATAGTATATTAAATCATGTGTTTTCCTGTTTTCCATCTGTCAACCAGTTAAAGCTGTGAGGCTGTCAGGCTGAGCGAGCTTGAAGATATTTTTGCACCTCCTTTTGAAGGTTGTTCTGAAGGTGTCTGGCTCTGTCGTTGGAGTTTTAAAAATGCACAATGAAATTTGGGCTCTTTAATGAGCACAAGGTATTGTTGGCAGAGCAGGTGACTTCAGAAGCCACTCAGTCAGCCCAGTTCTTCAGACAGAGAGCTTCCATCTCCTGACCTTTGGTTTGCAGCTGTTGTTTATTTAACCTACTGTGAATTATTATAGTTTATTTCCTGAAAAGCTTTTGGATGAAGAACCTTTAGCTAGCACTCTGTTTCAC